TCGCAATCTTCCTTTGGGATCTTCCCCGCATACCTTTCCCGAGAGCTAGCGAACCACCGAGTTTCGTGGTCCTGGTGCCTGTACATCCTCGCCTAGTAGACCTCAAGTCTGTTGTGGGTCTGGGTTCTCCTGCCAATATAATCGGGCGTCCCTTTTTAACTAAACAGAAGAGGGAAGAAAGAAGAAGGGAAGAAGAACAAAAAAAAAGACCAAAAAGGATCTCCCTTTCCCCAACCAAACCCTCTCAAAACGAGTCACATTGAAGCGATCATCTTATATTCGAGCTGGCCTAGGATCCGATTTGACCTGTCTCTTGACCTATATATCTTATTTTGGCTGATTTGCTCTCCCCGGACGATCCGTAAACCAGGGGCTTTCCGATCGGTTTACGATTCCTCCTATTTTTATTCCACTCTAGTCCCGGTCTTGGCTGGGTCGGTGTCCTGACTGTCCTGACTGTCATACCTCTCCGTACTCATACCTTGACCTTTACCCTTACCCTTACCCAGTACCCATTGACTCTTACTTACTTACCTATTACTATTACCCACACCACCACCACCACCAACACCACTGCACCACTACCACCACTACACTCCCCCCAACAACAATCTTCCAGGGCTCGACACCAAACGGGAAACTCTCGCTCGAGTCCTCCGCCGCCGCCGCCAACTTGAACCTTACACCATTTATCTCTTACCACTGACCACTGACACTGATAACTCACCACCAAACCACTCTCAGTACTCAGCCTCTCTCTCTCTCTCTCTCTCCCTCTTTCTTCTTCCAACTCTTCTCATCCCATCGCTATCTTTTCACTTTCCACTTCTTCCTCTTCTTCCTCAGTCCCTCTCTTCCTTCCTCCCCGTCTATCGGCCTACCTACCTACCCATCTACCCGTGACTGAGTGCCCGCTGCCTTTTCCTGGTCAGGCCGATCTGTAAGCGATGCGTTCTTGCACCTAATGGTCGTTCCTTTCCATCTATCGTGTACCACCTGGCTACCCTTGCTTCGCCATCGTCGTCGGGCATTCGGTTAAACAAGTCATCGCCATCATCCTTCTCTGAACATTCCTTACTCTCTCACCCCTCGCTCGGTTTTTGGGAGGCAAGTGAATTTTTCTTCATTCCGGTGTAAGTCCTTTTGCTTGTTTTTCCTTTCTTTCTTATTTTTTTCTGTTCTATTTTTCGTCCTCCAGACTAGCTCGGTTTCTCACCGACCGCACCCCTCGGTCCCTCTTTCCCCCCATGATGTTTCAGTTACCGCATATTGAGAGGCGAAAATTCATGGAACATCGAAAATAAATTACACCTGAAAGTAACGTGGATTACCTGCTTACCTTAACTGCGCAATGATGTCTAGGACCACTTTGCACCGTGCGATCGACACCGCGTTTTTGACATTTTGAAACCCACCCTCATTCCTCTCCCTTGAAACCGATCGAGTTTGTGTGTCGACCGTCATCCCACCATTTCTGTTATCGACGACAGTACATAGCTGTGGGCCCAATCCACAGTCGTCTTCCTGCCAATATGTCTTCATTCTTACCTGTCAATACTATGTCCACCTCACAAGATCGGGTCATGGAGGACGCAACGACATCATCCACCCCTCGCCCTCATTCCAGCTCGGACGCTGCATCATCTTTAGGCACCAAGACGGACGAGAGCACCCCGCGGAATGTAAATATCACCGATGACTCCGCCCGCCCGATAGACTCGCAAACCAGCGCATCGTTAACGTCAGATGAGCCCGCACATGGAGATTCGGACGGGGAACGTGAAGGCTCTGATAACGAGGACAACAAGGACAATGCTCCCCCATCGAAGAAGAAAAAGGGACAACGCTTCTACTGCACTGATTTCCCACCATGCAACTTGAGTTTTACACGGAGTGAGCATCTGGCTCGGCACATCCGGAAACATACCGGCGAACGCCCGTTTCAATGTCACTGCTCCCGCCGCTTTTCTCGACTGGACAACCTGCGCCAGCATGCCCAAACCGTGCACGTCAACGAGGAGATTCCAGGAGACTCGCTGGCGGCGACAGGGACCAGATTCCAGCGACAAATTCGAACAGATCGCGTTCGTCCCCAGGGTCGCGCGAGAGCGGGCACGGCGGGCAGTCAAGGTACTCATAGTAGGGGCCATAGCAGAAACCTTTCTGCCTCGAGCATCACCTCCACTGCATCGACATTCAGTCAACCGCAGGAGCTTCGCCGACGGCCTGCGCCATTGATGATGGCAAATGATCGAGCGCGACTGATGGATACGTTGGATGCTCCCAGCACCCCTCCGGGGCGGGGCCTGCCAGGACCGCAGGCCGGTGGCTCCCCTTACACACCTTCACACCATGTCTTTGCGGCAGGGCCTCATGGTAGCCCTCATATTGCTTCGCCAATGTCTACAGTGTCCCAGGCCTCGGGATTCTGGGAGGGCAAGACAGCCGCTCGTCGATTGTCTGTGCCATCGGGCGCAAACCCATTCGCATCGCAGCCTGCCAACGTCTATCCTCCAGGTTATGCTCCACCCCCCGCGTACGTTGCGCACGGCGGAGTGTACGCCAGCCCCGTTAGCACTAATTACTCACTGTCTCGCGATGAGATGAATACCGGAGCTTCGGACGCCGATCTACGCAGAAGGACATGGCACCCCTCGACCTGGTCTGCCGTTCCTCGGCCAGCCACCAGTGGCCTCAGTAACTACCAGACCCCCGAAGTGTTCCACCCGTCGGCGAAAACCAATGGGTCGGCGGAGCAGCCTCCGCGACTGCCAGGTATTGAGAGTTTTGATAAGGTGGTGGCTCACCGACCGCTGACCCCGCCCGTTCGACGACCGAGTCCCATGCAAATGGATAATCCGACCAAGCAACCGCCGAACTACAACTTTGGAGGAGGATTCAATTACACGCAACCGGCCAGCCGACCAGCGCCGCCAATTTCGGGCCCCGGTCATCGACGGGGTCACGTCTCTTGGGATATGTCACTGCACACAAACCTAACCGGACTTCACATCCGGGACAAACCATCTCAGCGAGATGCGGCAAACTGGAGCCAGCAAACCATTGCCGAACTCCAGAATGTTGGTTCCCGGCCATCCTCGTCTTATCAGCAGCAACTGCAGGAATCTCGCGGACATGGCCATGCTCCGTCATTCAGCAGTGTTACTATGAGCACTCAGGCGACGCGAACGTCACCCGAAGATTCCAGCAGCAGCGAAGGAGTCCATACCCCGTCTACTGCATCTTTGGAATACCATCCCGCAATTGTGCATAACAATGGATATGTGGAGCAGCATCACCCGCCTTTTGCCTCCGAAACATCTCAAACAGTACGCACACGTTACCAGAATCAACGATGAGGGCCAGATCACTGATTGGAATGCAGGCTTGCCCCCCTCTAGCCCCCCAACCTGATAGCCACTACGGCAAACGTGACCTTCGGTCCGATTTCCTTCCTCATTCGGTTCGGGAACCTGGAATGGGTCGACTGGAAGCGCTCGTCGCTGTCGCCACCAGCGAGAACAAAAGCGCCACGAAGCTCTTTATCTGAACGGCCTCTGAATGGGAATTATGCCTGTGATTTACGAGTATTTTCCTATTTTCATCCGGTGATCACGTCCTGAGCGATCCCGCATCCGAAACCGACCTTGCTCGGGCTCGCCGCTCTTTCTCTTTACATCTGTTTTGAGCGGGAGTTGTATAGTACGAGGCATTGACCTCTTGTCATGGGTTTCCTCGACCTTTTCTTTGTTTTGGATATAGCCGCGGAGTTCTAGAACCTGGACCTCTCTCGTATACTCGGAGCTGCACGCACCGCTCGGCTGCGGGAATCTTTATGAAGTGATGAATGATGAAATAATGCATCGGTGGGTTGGAACAACTGGGGCTTTCGCAATTCCTACTTTTATCTTGTTCGGGGTCTTTCCTCTCTCTCTCTCTCTTTCCTCTCTGTCTCTGCATGTTCTGGCGTTCTCCCTCTTTGTCCTTCCGGAACGGAATATTGTCCATAGTGCATGAAGATACCCCCCCGGCCTTGATCTCGAGCGAGTGCAATGAGATCACGGAAGGAGTTTCCTACTCTGGTCGTGGTGTGGCTTCGATTGTTCGTTTGACGCTGTCTATACCGAGGTTTATTTGCTTCTTTCGGTGGTGGTGATGATGTGAATTGCTGCAGCTGGCCATCATGTTTTAGTATGTCATTTTCTTGGCGACTGTGGGGCCTTGACGCTTCATGTCTTTGGATTTTGTTTCCTTTTTTTGTTTTCTGCTTTGCAAGGGGTTCAGCAATTAGTTGCGGGTAACAGTATTGAGCCAATACCAGAACGAAACCAATTCAGATGCAATGATGCCAAGACCAAAACCTGGACCGGGACCCGAAGGCAGGAGGGGATAATCAGCCACAGAAGAATAAGTAAGTTACTCATAATTTCCCCTGCAGCTTGAAGCTGGCTAAATTAGGAGGCCGGACCCATCATGACGTTGTCGAGTCGAGTCTCCACGATCTCAGTAATGTCAAACCCACGGGTTAAGGTACCTTTTCCTGGTGACAGACCTTGTCAGCCAGATCACCATGGAACAAGCCCCAGTGGATGATGATGACTCTCAAGTGACGTAGTATCGGCCGATGGCTGCCGCCCCCGACTCGGCGTCTTCCTCCACTGTTGAGGAGTATGTGTGCTGAAGCTTGTAGAATGAAAGAGGGTTTGCAGTGGATTTGTTCACTTGAGTTATGTACTAGGTAGTAGAAGAAGACTAAACCTGGCAGAGATGCAAACCCTTCAAATTCAGCTGTTGTACAAACAAAGCAGGTAGCAAACAACCCGAGGCTTTCCCCGCACAGGAAGCACACACAGTACGTGCACTGCACTGCAGTCTATGAATAGTTAGGAAGGCTCCTAGTAGCCTGTCAGTGAGACGGTGCCTCTTAGGGAGAAAAACCGACCAAGCAATTTTAGTCCCCGAACCCAGCCCAGCCCAGCCCAGTCCACAACACCACAACCACGACGACGACGTCATACCCTGTGATCCCAACCCGCTTGCGCCAGCAACCACGGACTTGAAGGGAACAAACAGCCAAGATTCCACGTAGCACACGACGAATATATAATACTACTCCTCATCGCACTCAAACCTGAATAGATCACATTTTCTTCACTTAACAAACTCCGCAATCCAGGAACAACACACAAACCAAATCCAATCAACCAACCCAACTTTTTCTACCACCCCGCTTCCCAACTACCTACACAAATCTCATCACAATGGCTCAGAGTCGCACTGGAGTTTACGCCGCTGTTGCCGCCCTCGGTCTGGGTGGTTACTACCTCTACCGCGCCGGTGGTGACCCCAAGGGTGCTACGCAGGAGGTTAAGCGTAAGTTTCCTGCCGTGGTCTGCGCGGTCTCGATGATACACGGTTATGAATGTTAACGCCACTTTCTACAGACGATGCCCACCTCGCCCGCTTGAACGCCCCCACGGGTAACCAGGCCGAGAAGGCCGGAGAGAAGGCCGCTTATGAGGCTCGCTTGAACGTTGATCAGGCGGTACGTTTTAAACCCCTTCCCTCCCTCCCCTCTCTTTTCCCCTCCGACCTCAACCTCCTCATATACTTCAATGAGAAACTTTGCAACTCGCGCTGACAATTTGTTTCCCCGGGGATATAGGTCGACTCCGCCCGCGCCGAGGCCAAGAACCAGGCCAGCCGCCTAGACCAGATCCGCCAGGACACCACCGCCGAGCTGAAGTCAGGCGCCGAGAAGATCGAGTCCAAGGTCGAGGAGAAGGCCTCCGAGGCCAAGGGTGCCTTGTCGGGATGGTTCGGCAAGAAATAGACTTTTCTTTGGTTGCCTCCGAGCAGACAGATCGATCGCTTCGAAACACATTCGCGCGCGCGTGTGAGTTGGGTTCTGTCTGATGCCTCCTGGAATATCCTTCTTTCTGTCTTGTTGTTATCGTGTCTCTTTTCTTCCTCATTTCACGGCGGGAGTTGAGTTGATTCCTTTTGCGATCTGGTTTTTGTTCTTGTGGAAAACCCCCACGTTTGTGTTTCCTGATGGAAGAAAAAGTGAGGGGATTGCATATGCTTGGCTGGGCCTTGCGTGTGTTTCATTTCTTTTTTTTCTGTTGCTGTTATCTTTGTCGTCGTCGACGACGACGACGACGACGACGAATGATGGATGATGGATGATGTTATTGCCGTGATGATGGGTTCGAGGAGGATTATGATTGATACTATACTCGAGTCGGTTCAATAATATCAATTTCCCAATTATCCTTTTCCTTCTTCGCGGCCATTGTTTTGTCGGATGTTGCATACTTGAACTCCGCTGGGGCGCAACTGGAGCCAGCGCCGCAAACGAGCACTGAGCACTAACTAGTTCTGCGACGGGATGCTATCACTAGGTAGTTACCTTAGAATCAGGACTAATCTGAAAGGCCTAGACTGCATCAGGGTAAATCGCATTCTTGGGTGGATCAGACAAAAAAGGGCTTCGATGTGGAGTACTTTGCCCGCGGTATGCTACATTCCCAATGCATGATTACTGTAGTGACGGGTTGCCGTGCATTGTGAATGGTAGAGCAGGAAATCTATACTAAGGTTGAAGCGAATTGATATATAACATTCAGAGCGCATTTTCTTTGCTCGGAGAAATCACCTTAAATTGCTCCAGGCTTTCATTTACCCCTGCTGATCATGGCCGCGGCGGGATCCTAATATTTCCGCATTCGGCCGCGACGCCTCCAGAAACACGCGACCCGCGTCGACGCGCTCCACCCGGGAAAAAAGCATCCAAGCGCCCTCACTCACAAAAGGGACTAAAATATACACCCCCAATTTTCCCTCGCCCGTCAAACAGACTTCCCCAGATATCATCCCCCTCCATAAACCACCTTCCCACCAACTACCTTTTAGTATATTACTGTTGTGCATTTCTATCTGCCTGACATTTCCATGTTTGCACAATAGCCACTTCCTATCTTCTTTATCTCTTACTTCCTCCCCCCCCCTCCTCCTCTGCAAAGGAAACCGCGATGCCGCGCACCTCCGCCAGACTGGCCGCCCTTCCCCGGGGTCAGGCCGGCATTCAGACCTTTGCAAGAGCGACCAAGCCCGGCGTCACCACTCCTCATTCGCTCGCGGACACCAAGAAGCAACTACAGCAGCAGCAGCTGCCTCTGCCGTCCACGACGAAAAGCACGACCTCCCCCCCCACCACCACTACCGCCCGCCTTCCAATCTCACCGTCCAAGAAGCGGAAACTGCACGAACTGCAAAACGTCACCTGTGGCGGCGGACAACCGACGACGCAAGAGGCAGGCAAGCCCGGCCTTCCTGCCGATGCCAAAGACGTTCCAGAGGCAGCCACTCCCTCCCGGACCCTCCGACTCGGCGAGCTTGCCCTCAACACCCCCCGAAGCGGCCACTACGCGCGCTCCTCTGCCCGCGAAGAAGACGAAGACGACATCCCAACCTCGCCATCCAAGCGGGCCGCTACTCACAGGAGAACGACCTCAGCGTCGTTGCCGCGGAAGGCGAGTGTCGTCACCGTAGACACGCGGGTCGTAGAACGTCCCGCCTGCGTGGATGATTTGGTGGCGCTGTACTCGGCATTCCAGAAGGCGGTCTCCATCCATATGATGCACAACGGCGTCAATCGCCCGGCGGACTTGCGGGAACTGCTGCCCAGTATGCAGCGGATCTGGAAGAAGCGGAAGGTGGTGGTGAAAGACCTGCAGCGATTGATCTGGGTGATGGAGCAGGATGATCAGTCGACCTCGTCGTTCTCGTTCAGAATCGCGAATTATGGGTTGGGCCGGGTGTGCTTGGAAAAACTGGCTGTCGCTGCTGCTGCTGATGGCACGAATTCGTCACCCTCTGCAGCACCGGTGCGGAATGATGATAGCGGTGAATTGCAGGAACGGTTCGAGCAGACGGTTGATCTGCTCTGGGAAAAGGCGCTGGATGCAGCGGATGGTGATGTGGATAAGGTGGACTTCGTGGGTACGCTGGGCGTATCGGCCATTCATGAGTCGTTGGTCCCCTTCACGACATTCCGGAAAGGTCAGCAGCGATTGCAGGATCTCAAGGGCGGAGTGATCAAGTTGAAGACCGAGAAGCTGCGGGCGGATGGGCAGGAGGACTCTGTTTCGGCCAAGTCGCTGGATGCGGCAAGTGCGCGGAAGAAGGGCCTGCTGGAACGGATCAAGGACAAGCAGCTGCGACAGGCGAAGTTGCCGCCCCCGCCCACGAAGGATATGCTCCTCCAGCGAGCGGCGGCGGAGCGGGTCGAGGAGGTTGCTGGCGTCCTGGCTCTGCTGAGACCCAGGGGGTATACAGGCAATGGTACTAAGGCGGTGATGACGGCGCAGCGAACGCCGTTTCGAATGGAGACGATCGTCCAGAACGTCAAGGATTCCTTGCGCAATCCGGTGGCGGATCGAGAGGTCGAGATCTGTCTTGAAATTCTCGCTCGGGAGGATGTTGCGGGACGATGGGTCAATATCGTGATGGTGAATCAGCTCAGATCGGTGGTGCTGAAATCCTGTGCCGATGTGCAGCCCAAGGAGATAGCGGCCCGAGTTGCACAGCTGAAGATCGGATGGGAGCAGGTTGGCGAGGCTCCCCGGAAGTGAAATGATTGTTAGTTGGATTACCCCTCACTCGTTTTGGATGTCGTGATACCTCAATCCGGAATGCCTGGCATGCAGTTCCGGCGTTATGATTGCATTGTTTGAGCATCGCATGTGTCATGTCCTGTATATTAAGCGGCATTTGTTATGTACTGCACTACTGGCATAGCCCCATTCTATCGACTAATAGATATACCAATTCTTGATTCCTTCCTTCATACCATCTGCTCAAATGTCTGGGTTATACTACCTAGTCATTGGAACCAATTTCGACGTATGTCTGTACTAGTAGATTGGTGAGTGACAGCTATGCAGCGGACCCCGCTGATTGGATAAAAACCACTTCCGGCCTCCGCGCCGCAACGCGTATGCACGTGATCGCGTTGCCACTGACCGCGTCGCAGCGTTGATCTATCAATTGACCCACGCTCCCTCATCCGCATTTGACCAGACCGTAGCCAACAACAACAGACAAACTGGCTCAGAGCTGAAGTCATCTTTGTCCTCGTTGAGCTTTCTGGCAATATGTCTTCGCGGCCGGATCTCAGGGTTAGTGCTCCATCGCCAATTGATCCGATTTCTCTTCTCCCCCGTGAACACCATCAAACATGACGAAACACCACGCCTCAAATGCTAATAATTCTTGTTGAAACAGGTAGACGATGAAGTCGGCTTCATCCGCTTCTACCGCTCCATCTCCTCCAACAACACCAACACCAACACCAATAATAACAATGACACCATCCGTATCTTCGACCGCGGCGACTGGTACTCGGCCCACGGGACGGAGGCCGAATTCATTGCGCGCACGGTCTACAAGACGACCTCGGTGCTCCGCAACCTGGGCCGCAGCGAGACGGGCGGCCTCCCCTCGGTGACTATGAGCGTGACGGTGTTCCGCAACTTCCTGCGCGAGGCGCTCTTCCGGCTGAACAAGCGGGTGGAGATCTGGGCGACGGCGGCGACGGGCGGCGGGCGCGGCACGGGCTCGTGGAAGCTCGCCAAGCAGGCCAGCCCCGGCAACTTACAGGACGTGGAGGAGGAGCTGGGCAGCGTCGGGGCGCTGAGCCTGGACGCGGCGGCGCCCATCATCCTGGCCGTCAAGATCTCCGCCAAGGCCGGCGAGGCGCGCCACGTCGGGGTGTGCTTCGCGGACGCGAGCGTGCGCGAGCTCGGCGTGAGCGAGTTTCTAGACAATGACGTCTACTCGAACTTCGAGTCCTTGGTCATCCAGCTGGGCGTCAAGGAGTGTCTGGTGCAGATGGACGCCGGGCGCAAGGATGTCGAGCTGGCCAAGATCCGCGCGATCGCGGACAGCTGTGGCATCGCGGTGTCGGAGCGGCCCGCTGGGGATTTTGGGGTGAAGGATATTGATCAGGATTTGACGCGGTTGTTGCGGGATGAGCGGTCCGCGGGGACGCTGCCGCAGACGGAGTTGAAGCTGGCGATGGGCGCCGCCGCCGCGCTGATCAAGTACCTCGGGGTCATGACGGATGCCTCGAATTTCGGGCAGTATCAGCTGTATCAGCATGATCTGTCGCAGTTCATGAAGCTCGATGCGTCGGCCCTGCGCGCGCTGAACCTCATGCCCGGTCCGCGGGACGGATCCAAGTCCATGAGTTTGTTCGGCCTGCTGAATCACTGCAAGACCCCCGTGGGCAGCCGGCTGCTGGCGCAGTGGCTGAAGCAGCCGCTCATGGATCGCGCGGAAATTGAGAAGCGGCAGCAGCTGGTGGAGGCCTTTGTGGTGGATACGGAGCTCCGCCAGACGATGCAGGAGGAGCATCTGCGGTCGATCCCTGACTTGTATCGCCTCGCGAAGCGATTTCAGCGCAAGCAGGCCACCCTGGAGGATGTGGTCCGCGTGTATCAGGTTGCGATTCGTCTGCCAGGGATTGTTGCTTCGCTGGAGAACGTAATGGATGAGCAGTACCAGACCCCACTCGAAAAAGAATACACCCTCAAGCTGCGCGGTTTCTCGGATAGTCTGGCCAAGCTGGAGGAGATGGTCGAGACCACCGTGGACTTGGACGCGCTGGAGAATCACGAGTTCATCATCAAGCCGGAGTTCGATGAGAGCTTGCGCATCATCCGCAAGAAGCTGGATAAGCTGCGACATGATATGAACGTAGAGCACCGTCGGGTGGGACGGGATCTGGACCAGGAGGTGGAGAAGAAGCTGTTCATGGAGAACCACCGTGTGCATGGATGGTGCTTCCGGCTCACCCGTAACGAGGCTGGTTGCATCCGGAACAAGAGAGAGTACCAGGAGTGCTCGACGCAGAAGAACGGCGTGTACTTCACCACATCGACAATGCAGGCGCTGCGCCGCGAGCATGACCAGCTTTCGTCCAACTACAACCGCACCCAGACTGGACTGGTCAGTGAGGTGGTCAACGTTGCGGCCTCTTACTGCCCTGTGCTGGAGCAGCTTGCCGGCGTTCTCGCCCACTTGGATGTTGTGGTGAGCTTTGCCCATGCCGCCGTTCATGCCCCAACCCCGTATGTCCGTCCCAAGATGCACCCGCGCGGCACGGGAAATACCATCCTGAAGGAGGCCCGCCATCCCTGCATGGAGATGCAGGATGACATCTCGTTCATCACCAACGATGTGTCCCTGATCCGGGACGAGTCGTCCTTCCTCATTATCACCGGTCCCAACATGGGCGGTAAATCGACTTATATCCGGCAGATCGGAGTCATCGCGCTGATGGCGCAGACGGGAAGCTTTGTGCCGTGCAGCGAGGCCGAGCTGACCATCTTCGACTGCATCCTTGCGCGTGTCGGGGCCAGCGACTCGCAACTGAAGGGCGTCTCGACGTTTATGGCCGAGATGCTGGAAACCTCCAACATCCTCAAGTCGGCGACCTCCGAGTCCCTGATCATCATCGACGAACTCGGCCGTGGAACGAGCACCTACGACGGGTTCGGTCTGGCGTGGGCGATCTCCGAGCACATCGTCACCGAGATCCGTTGCTTCGGGCTCTTCGCCACCCACTTCCACGAGCTGACAGCCCTGGCGGACCGGTACCCCAAGTCGGCGAAGAACCTGCACGTCGTTGCCTTCATCGGCGATGGGACCGACGGGCAGCAGCCCAAAGACGACGCGCAAGACGCCAAGCGCAACCAGGTCACCCTGCTGTACCGGGTGGAGCCCGGCATCTGCGACCAGTCCTTCGGGATCCACGTGGCCGAACTGGTGCGCTTTCCCGAGAAGGTGGTCAACATGGCGCGGCAGAAGGCGGACGAGCTGGAGGACTTCACCTCTGCTGGAACCCAAGGCGATGGCGAGGAGCCAGCCCCGTCCTCCATCGACAAATATTCCCAGGAGGAAGTCGAAGAGGGCAGCGCTCTTCTGAAGGAGATGCTGCTCAAATGGAAGGCGACCGTCGAGTCCCCCGGGACGAACCTCACCGTGGAGGAGAAGCGACAGATCATGCGCGACCTGGTGAAGAGCGATCCCAAGCTGCAAGCGAATAAAGTGTTCCAGAGCATTAAGGCTCTGTAGATTTCTTTTATGATCATCAGGAAATGTTCGGGTATTTGTTTCTAGCGGATAGGAGTTACGGAAAATGGGATTTATCATATTGTATGTATGTTAGGGTTACAATGCTATGGACATCATTGGGTTGGTCGAACCGACTCTTGATCTATCTCGATAGTCTGCGCTGGTGCCTTTGTGGCGTTAGTTAGCCTGTAGGCTGCCGGTATCTTGGTTTGGAAGCCTAGCTCCTAGCCCTGTGCTAAGTCTAGGCAGCACAGGGTGGTTGACTAGGTGTTTGGGATGAACATCCTAGTACGTACTGTACTGTCCATCCTAACCTTGCTTTTTATAACTCGTCTTTACAGACCTCTTACTTCTTGGATAGTCAATTTTCTGTGCTGATAGCATAGCCATCCACCAAGCCTTCCGACCCTTCTATATTCTTCCGAGCCCTCAACCAAAAGCAAAAACCACCAAGGTACGAATGAAAAACCTACCAAGGATTCACAGTTTTCCTATAGTAAAACTAGCCTAAAAGCTAACAATATAAGCCCAAGCGCGCCGCCCCCCCCCCAACAAAAGCCATCATGAGCGCACCCACCACCACCATTTCAGAAATCAAACTAGTCGAGCAGCTCTTCCTAGACCTGCCCATCCAGCAAGTCCTCCACTCACGCCGGGGCACCGAGTTCACGGAGCCGTGGACGAGCATGTACGTCGATGCGATCCGGGACGCCCGCTATGGAGACGCGGTCTGGGCCCGCTACCATATCTACGGCGACGTGGAAGACGGCATCGTCGGCGGATCGGGGGGCAAGACGGTGCGGGAGGTCATCAAGGAAGATGCCCTGTCGTACCGGGTGAACGCACCGGAGGAATACTTCCAGGCTCTGGCGTTTTATGCGGGGACCAGCGGTGCGGATGGGCGTGCGGATGTGATTGAGGTCATTGCTAATCTGGATGAGGAGGAGGTTGCTGAGCTTAGGGCTAAGGAGGAGACGGAGCGGAAGAAGGAGGAGAGGGCTGAGGAGGCTGAGAGGGGCACGCAGGTGAGGTGTTGTTGTATGTAAATTTGTATACAAACTACAGGTCACGTGCACGATTGCGGAGGTCGAGACGCCGCAGGGTTGCGCGGGAGTAGTTACCTGTGCTGTCGCCGTAACAGGGAAACCACTTTATCCTGCCAGCTGGGGAGACGAGCTTCCAGAGACATTCATTGTTGTTTTCATCCCTCATCCCATTTTCCATCTGGATTCTTATTGTGGCCATCGCTCCCTTACCGGCTCTTTACTTCCGCTCTTTGCTCTATCCCACGCTTCCTTACCAACCCCCTCAGCGATGCGCGCAACCTAAAGCGAAACCTCCCGCAGACCAAACGACTTTTGATTCATGCACCCCTTTTCCATCCTCACCCTCGGAATCTTTGTAGCGGGCTACATCACCGCGAGGTGGGATCTTGTCACCCGGCTCTACGAATTAGCGATTTTTGCATGGGATCACGGTGTGGTGGTATGGCTTCCAGTGGCCCTCTTTTGCTGAACGCGCACAACTTGAACCTCGGGTGGACCTGGCGTTTGTTATCACAACCGCGAACGAATCCTGTTGGCTGACTTTCTCTCTTTTTCTGTTGTGCTGTACCCAGACACGCACGGCTAAAGGATTTCTTCTCTTGTCGGTCTTTTTCTTCTTGCTCGTCCTCCCCATCAATCATCTGGCGGCGACTGAGGGTGAATTGGTATGCTATACATCCCGCACTTCACAAGCGTCGAATGTCATCAATGCTTGCGATGTTCGCTTTTTGTGGACGTCTGGATCAATACAGAGAGAGAGCGAGAGGAGATGCTGATCATCGAGATATGTTGGTATATAGCACCCGCGCTACGTCCACCTAGGGGTCTCCGCTCGAGAACAATTGCGCCGTCGCGGCTCTTTCTAAAGCACCGGCCGAAGGAATGACAACATGCTCATGAGCGATGGGTTGTTACGGGTATTCTGGCCATACGATTTGCCGCGATCGTCGTCGCCGGGGGTGATTGTCGGGTGGAGGAACTCGGAACTGGATTTGTTTGTCTTGACTGTGTTGGAAGGTGTGGAGGTAAGGCTCTTTTGTGTCTGGGTTGTGCTCGTCTTGGGCATGTGAAGAGGAGCCAGAAAATGCTGACATCTTCCTTTTTTTCTTACCTGCCAGCCACGGAATGTAGACAATGCTCTTCGCGCAGGCATCCTCTTTCGCAACAGCCCGCACCCCATTGTGCGCATCTTTACATTGTGTGGGCGATCGGCGATGCATGTTCTAGGCTCGACCAACTCCCCAGACCCGCCCAGTGCGTTCAATCCGTCGCATCTCTATGTCACTACGACTCCGGCTTGTAAGGTGCCACGGATCTGGTGCCCTCCGGAGACGAATCTCTCGGTGCAGGTCATCATGTTTCACCGGCCGCATCCGACTCGGATGGAGTACATGTCGCTGGATCCGATCTCGTTGGCGCTGGGAGATAAGGTGGTCGCGGCCGATCAACCCGATGCGATGTCCAGTAAGATCGATACCGAGGAGGAGCACGACAAGGGCAAGGGCGGGAAGTTGGTGGAGAAGCTCAAGCTTCATACCGTCGTGAAGCATGTCCCGTCTTCAAAGGAGCAAGCATTGCCCCTCATCATCAACCAAGTCAATTGCGCCTACGAGATGGGCAAGCTGATGGAAAAGAACAGCCATCTGATTGGAATCCGGGTCAAGAGAAGCATGAGTGTCGGAGAGCGGGTCGTAGAGTCTGCGACAACCCTGTGGGACTTGTTCGTTCTCGGCGTATCCTACGTCTTCTGGCAGTGGATCTGGCCGGTAATCACCCGGATATTTGTTGTCGGGCTCGTGTTTCACCGCACCATCGCAGAAATTGTCCTGCAGATCCTGGAGTGGCGCGCTCGTCCCGACGCTGCTGCGCTCAAGGACATCTCTGCTACCGCTCAGCAGGTTGACATCCGCCTTCAACAATTCTGCTACTGGCCCATTCAATATGTGAAGCTGCGACAAAGGAAAGATAATTGGGAGAGTGTGACAACTAGTCATCCGGACTATATTCGATTCTACAACAGCCTGTGGCTTGTGGCTAATGATGTGATCATTGGGATCGCGTTAGGGTCATACATCATAGATAACGCCAACTGGGTCGCTTTCCAAATCAACTCCATCTTGACGGGCTGGACAGTGGAGGGGCTGCAACGTACCATATCCTGGCTGATGGACTGGCCGGCTGGCCTGAAATTGAACAATGAGCTCGCTGCGTTCCTTGGAGATCTCTTTCTATGGGTGATAGAGAACTGGGCAGGTGGGTTTGAATCTTTCCTCGTTCTCAAGGCAGACCTGCCATACTGATATCATGTTTTAGCTTGCATTGCCAACCTGCAACCCTACCTTCCACATGTCATCTACGTGGTGGGATGTTCAAGCTTCGCGGGGGCAAGCATGCCGATTGCCCTGTTTTCCGACCTGGTGTCTATCCTGACTGTCCACATTTACTCCTTCTACATTGCATCGGCGCGGATATTCAACTGGCAACTGACCATTATCATCTCGCTTTTCCATCTCTTTCGCGGCAAGAAGCGAAATGTGCTCCGCAACCGTATCGACTCGTGCGATTATGATCTCGATCAGCTGTTGCTGGGCACCATACTGTTCACTGTCCTTTTCTTCCTCCTGCCAACTGTGATCGTCTTTTACCTCGCCTTCGCAAGTGCACGAATGTTGATTATCTCACTGAAAGCAGCGCTTGACACCTGCCTAGCCTTCTTGAATCACTTCCCGCTCTTTGCACTGATGCTACGAGTCAAAGACTCGCGACGATTACCTGGTGCGTATATTCCAAGAATATTTCAGGGCTATATCACTAATGGAGTGTGGTCCATCCAGGCGGGATCCGTTTCGAACTCCGGCAAGAGCACGACAAGTCTCCTGCAACCGGCAAGTCCACGACTAGCGTACCATATATCCATTTCGAGTCCATTCCGCTCGCGCTTCGTGCCATGTTCGACCAGTACTTCCAATTGGGCCATCGTCTCCGGAAACACTACCTCGCCCCGCGGGTCATCTTCTGCCTCGTCACCGGCCGCTTCGTGCCTCCTATCCACCGTCGCAACCTCTACGGCATGCAGTACAGCATGCTCCCTGCGCGCCGTGCTACCATGATGGAGGTGTGGTCCATGTTGACACAGCCCCGCAAAATTAGTAGTGGAGGCAGCAGCTCCTCATCGATGGGTGGCGGGATTGGCACTGCGGCGAATGGGATCCTGAAGGTTCCGGGGACCTTCGGACAGGGAGATCTGCGGAGAAGAGGCCATCGATGATTTCCATGACGCTTCTATGCTCTGAGCATACAAGGATGAAGTACATAATGCATGGATAGTTCAAGCTGTCTGGCGGGTTGAGAGTCAATGCAATGAGTGATGGTATAGGTATATAATACATAATGCATGTTGTTCAAACATCGTATCACACATGATGGTACATCAAAATATATAGTACACGTAAGTAAACAGCACAACTCTAATGTCTTGATCAAGAAAAGAGGAAACCAAGCAAACCCCGGCCCCCCTCCTCCCAAGCCATGCCATATATAACAGTGAGGAGGGAGACGGGATGAGATGAGATATGGATGAGTGAGTAAGAGATGTTGAGGTTTTCAGGAGGTTTTCTGGAGTGGGTTTGACCGGCCCCCTCCTTTTTTGCCCTGTACATGTCCTGAAGAATCAAAGCTCCAAAATACCTACTTTCTCATCACCCCTCCTTGACAAGAGGGCAGAGAGATTCGAACTAGCTGTTTCCCAGGAAGAGAGAGCAAGAGATGATTTGGATCCACGGAGTCAAAGAAGAAAGGAATTGGCATGAGATGCGCGGAGACCTCAACCTCGCCGAAGAGTCTCGGCGTCGAATTCCTTGGTCGTGCTCTTCCGGGCGTCCTCGAGCATGGAATCGATGCCCTTCTCTTTGAGGACGACCTGATGGAAGATGTTAGCGGGGTTATTCGAGAAAGCAGAAAGAGGGTGTCTGTGACTGTGACTGTGACCGTGAGAGAAAAGGCATGGAAGTACATACATTCAAGCAGGTCTTGTACTTGGTGAAGAGCTCCTCGCAGTCATTGGAGGTGGTGTTGCCGCGGAGATATTCTGGGGGTTCATGGGTTAGTTAGACTGATAACCGGGATGGATAGAGTGATGAGGTGGGGAGAAGGAGGCCGAGGCTGGCAACGACAGCTTACTCTCACTGTACCACTTCAGGAAGCAGGTGTCGTATTTCCTGTTGGGAAGTGGGTTAGAGGGTTTTCTCATATACAGGATGCTTTAGGTAAAGTAGTGGGTGGGTGGCTGACTCTTTGATCTCGTTGCATTCGGGGGCGATTGAGGCTGCCATGTTTGGATGTGCGTAAGAATGGGTTCCCAAGTGGATATAATACTGGATAATGAGATGGAACTGAATCTAAAGTAAAGGAAATAGTACTATGTATGTGATTTGATATGCTGGTTTGGGGAGGCAAATCGTGGTATTATTCTAGTTGAGATCCTCTATCATGGAATTACGTAAGGCACATACTCCGATGGGTCTTTGCTTGATGGATACCAGACAGGTAGGCGGTCAAGCGCCCCCCTCCCCGGCGTTTCTCCACCTCCGAATCCGCCGGCGCCATTTTTTTCCTTTGTTGCGCGGGACAAGAAATTTGAACTGCAAGCAAGCAAGCATTCGCCCGAGACTGTGAGAAAGAGCAGACCACATCGGGCTTTTCTTTTCTGTCCTGGTGTCTGGGTTGCCTGAAATTGACTTTAAAACGAACTGGCAACCATGAACTCCGCCGCAGATTTCCCTCCGTTCCAGCAGCGACTGACCTCCTCGTTGGTCCAAGTGACGCGCACCGTTGGCCAGCTTTCCGCCGAAGATGTCGACTTTCACCGATCCTCGAACGCGGAGGTCTCGAGCTCGTTGGACGAGCAGAGCAACCGGCTTCTTTCTTTGACCTCGACGCTGCTGAAGGCGGCCACGGCGGGCACGGATGTGTCGGCGCCGACGCTGGAGGACGACGACTCCCTCGAGGACAACTGGCGCGGCGTCGTGGATGTGATCGATGCGCTGCTGGAGCGGGCGGATGCCTGCCTGGATGAGTTCACCGGCGTGATCAAGAAACTGAGCCCCTCGCAGCAGGACCAGGCCGCCGCCGCCGCCGCCAAGGCCGCGAAGAGCAAGGCCGCCGCCGCCCGATTCCCGACCGTCTACGACTACGGCCCGTCGAAGATCCCCAAGCCCCAGCTGCTGTTCGAGCACCTGCCCGACAACACCGACACATCGCCGTTCAAGCCGCTGCTGAAGTCCAAGCCCCACGCGACGGTGCCGCTGGAGGAGTCGCTGAAGCGGAGCGAGACGGCCACGGGCTATGTGCACCCGTATGAGACGGAGATCCGCGCGGCCAAATTCCCGGCTTCGACGTATACCGTGTCGCCGCCGCGGGAGTATCAGCCGTGGGACTCGACGACGGCGACCTTCGTGGATACCCTGGAAGGCGTGCAGGAGATGCTGGAGGAGCTGAAGGGCGCCAAGGAGATCGCGATCGATCTGGAGCATCACGATGTGCACTCGTACCAGGGTCTGGTCTCGTTGATGCAGATCAGTACCCGGGACAAGGATTGGGTGGTCGATACGCTGAAGCCGTGGAGAGAGGAGCTCCAGGTGCTGAACGAGGTCTTTGCCAACCCCAGTATTCTCAAGGTTCTGCACGGTTCGTCCATGGATATGATCTGGCTCCAGCGCGATTTGGGGCTGTATGTCGTCAACATGTTCGATACGTATCACGCCGCCTGCGCGCTGAACTACTCGAAGCGTAGTCTGAAGTTCTTGCTGCAGAAATTCGTCAACTTCGAAGCCGACAAGAAATATCAGATGGCCGACTGGCGCATTCGTCCCATCCCGGAAGGCATGTTCGACTACGCCCGCTCGGATACCCATTACCTGCTTTACGTGTATGACCACATCCGCAACGAGCTCGTCGAGAATTCGACCCCGGATAACAATCTGGTCGATTATGTCATGGAGCAGTCCAAGAAGGAAGCCCTGCAGATCTACGAGCGTCCGGTCTACGACGCCGCAACCGGACAGGGACCTGGCGGCTGGTACGATGTCCTGTCGCGCAACCAGATCGTCATCAACAAGGAGCAGTTCGCCGTGTTCAAGGCGGTGCACCAGTGGCGCGACCAGGTGGCGAGAGAGGAGGATGAAGGTGTGCAGTGTGTGTTCCCCAAGCACGTGCTCTTCAGAGTGGCTCAGGCTATGCCGACGGACCTGGGCACTCTGTACCGAACTCTGTCGCCTATGACGCCGATTGTCAAGGACCGGACAGATGATCTGCTGGAGATCATCAAAACGGCGAAGGTCGAGGGTGCTGACGGACCGGAGTGGCGCGATGTCTACGTGAAGCCATCCAAGAGCACGCCGGCAGCCTCCGCTGAAGGGGTGGCGGGATTCTTACCTGACCCTACCGCGGACGACACAGACCTCCCCACGGCGGCCCGCTACGAGATCTCGCAGTTCTGGGGCGGCGTGCTCGACACGCAGTCCCCACTCCCATCCCCCAAGATCTCCGCGATTGCCTCTGCCGAAGCTCTCCGTCTGTCACTACCCCTCCCACCCATGCCTAGAACGGTCTCCGAAGCTCGTGAGAAGTTCGGCGTATCCACTCCGGCCGCCCAAGCTGCGTCCGCGAAACCCGCCGCGACTTCGGCTCCACCGGCGGCAGCAGCGAAGCAGGAACCCGAGACCAGCGAACCCGAGAACAAGTACTTCACCATCAAGGAGAAGGGTGGCCCACGCAAGCGCAAGGTTACACCCGTCGTTGAGCCGCAGTCCGAAGACGCGGAGGGCACTAAGGCCGACGAGGTCAGCTCTGCGGCGGATCTGGACCATGACCTGAACGACAAGCCAACGAAGAAGCAACGGCGCAAGGAGAAGAAGAACAAGGCTGCTGCTGCTGCCGCCGCCGGCCAGACCGCGCATGCTCAGCAGCAAGAGGAAGCGCCGTTCGACTACGAGGCTGCGGCTTCGATGCTGAATGCCAACCCCGCCGAGCAGGCCTCCAGACCCACGAGAAGGAAGCAATTCAACCCCTACGCCAAGGCATTGGAGGCTCCATCTGGCGTCCGCAAGCAGAAGCGCGAGATGGCCGGCCGAACCGCTACTTTCCGGTGATTTGTCGTCTGATCAGGTGTTTTTTTTAGGCTAGTACGGTACATGCGAGGAGGAAGGGGAAACAAAAAAGTTGGAAAATGTGTGTTGTCGAGGCGGGGGTTGTTTTTACTAGAATTCGATTGTATGCATAGCGATACCCGGGTTATATTTTGCAGATAAAATGCAGAGCATTATCTTTGTCGTTCGTTGGCTTTTGGTCTGTAAGGTGGGGGTGGCGTGTATATACGTAGTATATTGGTATGATCACCAACCTTGCTGAAAATAAGTGGTCGACTCATACTTATTCCCAGTGTGGATCGACTGTTGATCCACCGTTCCGGAACAAAGAGATTCAAGCAGCGGCAGACAAAACCTTGCGCCTCTGCTTGACCATATGCTTGTACATCATCACCGAACCTGAACGAACCCAAAGGGCATTAGCCACCTTCTCTCTCTCCTCCCCCCCCCGGCCCCCGCGCCCCACCAAGTCACCCAGAAGGAAACGGAAAGGGAAAAAACTCACCAGGCGCATACAACCCCAAAAAGAAGACAAAGATCCCCTTCACCGCGACGCTGTCCGTCACCAGGGTCGCCCGGAACATCAACCACCATTCACTGGCGATCCCGATGGGGTAGAGACCCAGGAAAAGCGAGTATCTGGAAACACCGCCGTTAGCAGGAGCCACCTCCTCCCCTCTTCCCCCCCCACCCCCGAGGGGACCACAAAACAAACCACCGGGGGGGGATATAAGCGAAGAGACACAAGGGGTGAGCATACCGCAACCACCGCAACCACCGCGGCACCGCCGACGAGCCCGCCACACTCAGCACGGCGAAATACGTGTACCGGATGGCGTCCGCGAAGGACCACGCCAGCAGCATGGCCGGGTAGACGGCCACCGTCGTAGTGGTGGCCTCCGGGAAGGCGTAGTTGATGGCCCAGACTTGGACGCTGCGGGCGAAGATCTGCGTGAAGGTTGTGAAGATGGGGGAGCGGGTGAGGCCTTTTTTTTTTCTTAGTTGGCTGTTTTTCTGTGGGGGAGGCTGGCTGGCTGGAGGAAACCATACCAAGGGCGGAATGCAGGATTTCAAGGCTGGCGAGGGTTTGGGTCCATCTTGTCCAGGGTTCGAGGGTTGTGTAGAGGGTTTTTGGGGGGACGAGGAGGACGATGGAGGAGAGTAAGGTGAAGAGAATGCGGGTCCAGAGGAGGGCGTTGATGGTGTTGTAGATTAGGAGGTAGGAGGTTTTGAGAGACATCTTGCGGGGTTCTCTCGGGCTGGATTGAGTGGGTTGGGTGTGGTTCAGGCAATTGATTGTTTTGGGGGAGATTGTCAAGGTGAAGGTGTAGTGGGATCTGGGGATGAGGTTTTCGTTGGGTTGGGTTTTTAGTGGGGATGGATTTGCATGTGATCCGGGCCTTTTTGGGAGAGGGTTGTTTGTATGAAGGGTATAGGAGGATTCTATACAGATTGGGAGGAAGGCAGTCAGTTGAAAATACTGGGCTGGAGGTGTGTGTAGAAGCTGTTTCTGCATCTCTGTATGAATTAGAGTGCGCTATTGATATCATCTTCTGACATAAGGTTTATGGGCTACGGTTATGCTTCGATTGGTTTCCACTACGGTGGAACCGTCTTGTCTGCGTTACTAACAATCTATATGGATCTGGTCGATCGACATCGATAGGACATATCAAGTAGTCGACATACTCAAGAAAAGAACCCGCGATCAAGGCCCGCGGCAGGACCTCAGTATGCTGCAGAAGCCGCATTGCGAAATGCGAAAGGAAGTGAACTCCCGCTCCGTCGGTAATTGACTTCCCGCAGGCGAACCACGTGTTGACGCTTCGGTAAGCCCGGCCCGTCACCGCCCCCGTACTATCTCCCGTTTGGATTAGGTCTAGTCGTCCGGCTTACTGCCGCCCTGCCGCCTTTTTGATTCACCAGGTAGCCGGAGGTATACAGGGTTATCGTCGTGTTTTGTTATCATGGGCTGAAGTGCTGTGGAGAGATGCTGCTGTGTGTTGTGAGATATACGCACTGGATCGTTAGGCAAAGGGTTGAGCGTCACACTGCTTACTGTTCCCACTCTCATGTACTAACTATACATACTGGAATGAGAATCAGAGAATGTGCATCTTGCTGCTCGGATGTGGGGAGCAAGTCATAGAGACGCATATAGGTGCATCTACCTGAACATACAGGCAAGCTGGGGTGCTAGAGCCAACGAATTTGCTATAACAAGATCAGATGAATCTGAGCAAAGCAAATGTAATTCTGGAGCTTGTCTTGAGTGACATCGCCCCATAGCCATGCACCTAACCACATACAACGGAATATGAGCATACCCGCTAGCTGACCGGAATATCTGATGGTGGACATCCTAGGTGAGGGGAGAAGCAATGCCACAGGCGATCAACAAGATCTTAGGCGTCGAGAGCAGGCTCTACACCTACGTGTATGGAGAAGATAGATCATCTGATCAGCACACTGCACTCGATCAAAATCTTGTTTTCCTCGAGGTATGATGTCAACTCGAATTTTGCTTATCACGGAGGAATAGGATTCCCAAATGCCTGGACCACGTCATCAACAATGTGAGATACCATGGTGTCGAATATCCCCGGCCTTTTGGTGGTCGGCAGGCATCTCGATCTATCGGCCTGATCGCCAGGATTCAATAGTGACCCTGGTCACAAAAGCAACAAACAATAAAAGCGGCCCGAGCGCACGGTTTGCGATCACAATATCGTCGCATGGTGGAGGTGGTGGAGGGGGTGGAGGGACACTAGAAAAGTCAATTGGGTCGTACACACATGCATGCACTTCTGCACACCCTGCAATGGCACTAGCAGCTGCAAGTTGCGCTTGTGAAAGTTGCACTGCGGGTGTCCTCTTGGAGAATAGAGTTTCTTTGGGGCTGATGGCGGGGTTCGTCCGGTCGTACTCGGTATTATTGTCGGCATGTCACTGTCTGATTCCCGGGGAGATTGGGTAGGGTGGGTTAGTGTCTAGACGTGAGGAGACTGGGTGTGATTGACAGGGACAATCAAGCCTGCGTCGTCTATATACAGAAAGCTACTTTGGAGTCAATGTCCCCGGATAGACAAGCATGTAGAGGTCAGTTTGTTACTCAATGTTCTGGTCAATGTCCATGATGAGCTGAATTAAGGGGCGCAAACTGTCAATTCTGTGCTAGAACAAGTCTCGATCAGCAATCGAGCTGAGTCAGAATAGGTGAATAGGTAACTACTGTAGGTAACCCGCCATCGTGGATTGTTTGCTATGGTGCAGCATGAGGCGGGCGTCCCTTGCCCCAGCCCAGATTCCAGGTCGACCCATCAATCACTAAATCTAAATTTGAGTTTGCGGATATCCACAGATAGGGTTAGCTTGAATGCGTGCCACGACTGTAGGTGCTAGCCGTCTATATCAGCACTCAATATAGACTCCATTGTTTGGTTAGCGGCTGGAGTCATGATGTAATGGCTCCTTGTTGTGATCATCGGGGACAGACCTTGTGAGTCAAAGTACAACGGAGAGGGATTGTGAGTTCGTGGCGACGTGATATGCATGTCGTCAAGAATAGAATAAGATGTGAAACAGTGAAGCATTCGCTTCTAACTTTAGTGCCTTAGGCTTCCCAACAGCACTCAACCTGTAGGTAAATTAAGAACAGGCGGCGGCAATGCACACACACGCTACAGTACTGTTAGCCAGTTGGTGGCACCAATCCGAGACAGGCCCTGACTCGGTGGTTTTTAGGTTGACGCAGGTACCAGCCTTGGGTCCCCCCCGATCTGATCAGGCGGAACTTTTAGTCGACGCGCTAAACTCCTTGAGGAGGAGACAAAAGTGGCCCCGGTGGTCACGGGTCACACCCGGAGTCGACAGTGGCACTTGCTTGCAGTGCTGCTGCAGCCGCGCAGCGTGAACAATTCAGGGGAACTGAGAACGAGAACCCCCCACTGGTCTGATCTGGTCTGGTCCGGTCCCAGGGTTTCAGGTCGTGGCTATTCTTACCTACATATGGATATCTCCAAAATGTCTATATATACACACGTACACACATACACCTATACATATAACTAACTAATCGGTGGTAGGTTGGTCCTCGGTAGCAAAAGACCACAAATGGCACAAAGGATGAACAAGAACGGTGGGCCTGCCTTCTGTACTAACCCTGTACCACACTTCGGCCTTGCCCCTCTTTCTACGTATACCGAGCACTTAGTAGTGAAATCATGAAGAGTGAATCTGCGTCCTGTAGACCAGAATGGTTGAGAGGTTAAGACTCATTTGCAGCTTCTAGGAGATCATCTTGGAATTTGTCATGCTCTCTGGAACTTCCTTTGCATGGTTCTGCAACTGTGCGGTTCGTTCGCTCGCTCGCTCACCGGAAGGCTGGCGGGGGACAATCGATGCGACTACGCTATGATCCATGTCTCGTATCTGAGACTCAAAAGTTGGGCTTCTCTTCTCCGGGATTGTTGCGTCAATGGTGGGAATCAGATACGATGTGAATCATGAAGTGATCTCTTTCGTGTCTTCATCCCCCTCAGTTCTGCCTCCATTGCCCCGGCTTTTCCGACCGACCGAGCCGTGGACAAAGTGGCAAGTGGCAACATCCTCCGCTCAGGAACCGAACTCCTGATGGCACGACCCATGGGATCATGAATGGGCGCATTGGGCCAGGGGTAAAAAGAGTTGGGGAAGCGAACCCGGATAATAACTGTTTAGTCTCGTGCTAAGATTCTACTACGGAGTAATCAAGGTGGATATCAACTTATCTAGTCCCGACGCAATGTCTTTGCTAGTCGCTTAGGGTCGTTCTTCGCATACTCATCCCGGATTAGCTCGTTCTTTCTTGCTTAACAAGTGTCCTTATCCCCCCCCCTTGCGTCGTCCTGCATGTCGACCGTCTGGCTCTCTGCACTACCGGTCGAATCACGACCTCCCAGGAGATGATCATCCGACTATCATCATTGGTGCAACGAACCTCGGAAAGGGACGGACTGTCGCAAGCATGGATTGGCATCAAGATGACGGGTGAGCGGTACAATCCATAGGTACGGAGTACAGTACGGAGTACTGTGCATGTCATGATCTCCTCTTTCTCCCGGACAGGATCCGCGCCGTTCCCTACCTGCCAAGTGGTACTCACCCTCGCCCTCAACAGATGCAGGAGTCCACAGGGAGGTTACTGGTGGGTTGCCAACCACTCATAGATTATGGTAAGCATTCTGAAGAGATTAAAGGCAACTTGGCATCCAACTGGGAAAACCTGATGGATTCCTAAAAACTAAATCAGGAGGGCCAAAACCGAATGACAAACCACTTACTCCGTAGTCTGGCGCCGTTGATGGTCTGCCATTATATCCAAAACAGATAGCCATGGATCCCATAGACAATGCCTTGAGATCTGTCCAAGGAGAAGTTATGGTCCGATGACGATCAATTCGGTTAATCTCGATTGTCCTCCGCTGTTACAGTGAAGAAGTGCAGGTACGGAATAACTGCTAAGAGAGATTCCGATACTTTCTGGCGAATATGAGATGGCCACGGTGGTGGTGGCGGCGGCGGAAGGAGGGGAGACCGTCCATGGCAGGAACAGGGCATGGTTCGTTTTGATTACAGAGTGGAGAGCGCTTGAGCAACCGCCAGTTCAATCAATCTATGTGTAGGGGCCTATACAAGTTTAGTTAAAGTACTACCTACATACATACTAAGTACTGTACATGCCTGCCTGCCGTTGAGATTTGAGACACTACAACGTACCACCGCATGCACCGTCCCCTCTTTCTCGGCCTATCTCTGCCGACCAGCATGAAAAATGAATATGTAGTGTCGGGAGAAGAAAAGGCAGAGGGGGGGGGAGGGTAGCTTATGCATGCCGGTGCCTGGGAAGCACCAAGCACCAACTGACTGTTCTGTATGTACCACACCCTTTTTTTTTTTTTCCCTTACACCCAACCAGGCCAGTCAACGAGTCAACCGCGTTGCGTACCTGCTTGGCCCTTCAAAGTTGTTATTCAACCCGTCCGCCCACTGTTGCTCTGCTGCAAGTCACACGGAGACCAACTCCACCACCCTTTTCTTTTTTTTTTGTTTCTTTTTTTTTATCTTTCCCTTCTCCCCTTCCTTCCCCCTCCCTCCAAATGTGTATCATTTCATTTTTAAATCCACAATTTATTTTATTTTATTTTATTAACTCTTTTTATCCTTTCCCTTTTGGTTCTTGGGTTGCCCACTTTTCTCCAA